GGGGGGGCAGGGCGGTGCCGTGCCGTGGCGTGCCCTGCCGTGGGCCAGTGCCGCCTGTGTAAGGCTGCGGGGGCAAAATCACGGATATAGGCATGCGCACCCCATTCGTACATTGAAAAAAATAGGTGCACGCACTTAGTTTTTTCTCTATTTGAGTTCATAAAGCCGCATTTAAGGTGCATACCAGAGCATGAAGCCTTACTAAGATTCACAGCGTCCTTTGGGTATAGGGTCAGGCTTTGTAACTTGCAAGTGTTATTTACAAAGCAAGAAACGACTTGAGGCCTGAGAAGAAAGGCCTGAGTTCTCTCCCGGAAGGGATCAGCGTGGCATGTTTGTATCCAGGCTTTGTTTCGTGGTATTAAAAAGGATGTCCTGTTGGTGGGCGGTGTCCTTGTATCAACCGTCTGTTTCCCTCCCTTCCTTTGGCAAAGGTTGGTGACTTTTTAAGAATTTATACGATGGTTTGCAGTGCAGATATGCAAGTGCTTAGCTGCTGAAACTGGTAGCACAGTCTGGTACACTGAATTCAGGATATTGTAGGCATTGAAAAGCATGGGGAAGTGGTTTGTGTGGACCTCTGCTACTATACTAGGCATTCTTTAAATGTCATGGTGTTACATATGTGTTCTTAGTATGTTTGTTGAACTGAAAAGTACTCTGCAAATGATAAATTCATTATTTGCAGCTTGATATACCAATAGAACTCCTTACTGGTTTTAAAAACTTGTGTTCAATTTCCTTTAGTTTTTGGATGTCTGGTGCATTCTGCTTCCTGTGTTAGCAGGCCAGATCCCACCAGAAAGCGTTGATGTGTGGGAGCTCCTCCACTGAGTTGAAGAGGGAGTGCACTTTGAGTCTTTTAAGAGTAGTAAACATCCACAGTATAGGCAGGAGCCTTTCTGAAATGGAATAACTAAACTTTAAAATAGCTAAACATTAAAATTAGGTGTCAAATGCTGATGCCGTAACTCCGTATCTACTTTAAACTGGCTGTGCTGCCAGAGGAAGCTGACTTTCTTCCCTCCAAGCACCCAAGGAGGCTAACTTTAACTTGGATCAATCCTCTGTTCTGGTTTGCTGCCTATATTCCTAAATATTGTGTTCACACAAGAGGGTAAATAGCACAGGGGCATAACTGCTTCTGGTGACTGTGTTGGGTTATAACTGCTCAAAGTGGCTGTGAAACTAACAAAAATGGGCTATGGGGACAGGATTAGGTTTCTTTGTAAATAGTACTAGCTGTGGCTGCTGGTGGACTATAAGTTATAAGAATGTAGTGTTGAAGTGGGTGTGTATAGATGACACAGACCTTCAAGCTCTCAGGAGACTTCTGCTTGTTGTGAAAGCTTTCTGCCTTCGCAGATAGTGATGCAACCTGTACAGTTTATCTACCTTTGCTCTCAGTATTTGATTTATGTGCATGTGTGCAACTGAAACCACTTACTAGAGTGTGCCTTGTTCATTAACAGCAGAATAAATCCTTTCAAACTCAAGTTATCAGCTACAACTAGTAGTTGCAAAGGAAACCACTTCCATATAATTACAGTTTTTACTGTTTTAGAAATACGAATCAACTGATGATCAGCTTTGGTTTTTTTCTGAGTGTCCTAGTAGAGACAAAACTGTTGAATAGTGTCACACTGGTTGAAATAAAATTCTATGTGGACTTATTTTTGTGCTTTTGTTTTCAGGCTCCTGCTTACCATCTCATTTTGGAAGGAATTCTAATTCTATGGATAATCAGACTTCTTTTCTCGAAGACATACAAGCTTCAAGAGCGATCTGATCTAACACCTAAGGTATAGTGGAAAAATACTTTTCTTTAGAGAAACAGTTTATAGCTGTTGATACATTTGGCTGTTGGACCACTGCTGCATCACAAATTGTGCTGGTTTTTCTTAGGATTTCAAAGGGTAAGCTTACTTTGGACTAAGAAACTGTTTATTGCTTAAATGCTTCAGTTTGTGCTTTTAAAGTAGCACTGTCTTTGAGAGTCCGAGAAATATAAAAGAACTGATATGACCGTGACCGCTAAGCTGGCATTAGCTTTATTCAATGGATGGCTTTGTTTTAAAAATGGAAGTTATACTAAAAAAACCCCACCAAACAAAATGCACTATAGGAGTATAGAGAGTAGGAAAATGATCAGTCTGTATATCTGGTATCTGTGAGTGATAGCTGAAACTCAGTTTACCATGTTAAGTGGGTTCCAGAAAACTTTGTAGTTTAGCGTCCGTTTTCTTCTTTTGCAGTATAGTTGTCTCAAAACAAAAAAGCTGTAATTGTTTGCGAAGGATGGAATTTCTGCCTGACTTCTGTCTGGAGACTGTCAGGAATGAGTAAAGTTTGTTTTGGAGATGTCCCTGGATTGGTTTGTCTGAGACGTGGTTTGTGATTGAGCTTGCTGCATACTGTCAGAGGATTCCATTGGATATATTCAAAGGATGGTTGGATGCACTCTCTGAATGTGAAAACAGTGAGGTGAACAAGGATGCACTCCTTTTTCTCAGTCAGGGTGAACTACAGCTATGTATTGCAATGTGACAATCAGCCTGTGTATGCGAGGGGTTGATCTGAATGATCTGAAGTCCCATATTACAAACAAGCTTAGTTTGGTAAAGCTTTAGAGGAATGGTATCCTTTATGAATGGGATAAAACACTGGAATTTCTTTGTGGTGTCTTTATGGATATTTTACTATGTCATTCCAAGCTGTATCATGTGCTTGCATGCTTTTTGATCTTATTCTCACTAACGATACATGTTAAGCACATGGGCTCAGTGTAACGCATCAGTGAACAGGATGCAGGGACTATAGGAACAAAGCCGTAAATGTGAGCAAATCTGCAGGCAGTGTCCTCTTTTGGGGAGTAATTACTAAATGAGCTTAGAGTATCCTAGGGAACATTTCAGCATGTTTTTATTGGAGGCATTTAATAATGGAGGCAAGAAGTGAGCTGAGCAGGAATCAAGAAAGGGCAGTTGAGGTTTGTGCTTGGGAAGGTTTGAATTGATCCTGGGATTCTTGAAATTTGCCGCCTTTGGTAAGAATACAGAGGAGGAGTGAACGCAAAAGGAGGTCCAGTGTGGTGAAGTGCTGAATGTTCAGGTCATCTGAGAAGACACGCTGCAGCTTTAAAGTAGTCCTGATTGTCCATTCAGAAACTATGATAGTTCATTTAGTAGAGTTTTCCTCCATCAGATATTTTTGATCTCTGGTATTTTGGAGGATAACTTTTTTCTTTTGAAAAATTCATTCTCTATGCAGTAGGTGGTGGGAAAAGCCTCTTTGCTACTTTTGCATAATTGGTGACCTGAAAAAGCTGAAACCTATCTCTTCCTTACAGAGTAAGGATTACACTCTGATATTTCTATGTGCATCTTCAATGTTATCATTCAGTTGCAGGCCATCTCCTTCGTTCACTGACAGACCATTTTGCTGAAGCTGAGGTGTTTAAAAAAAGTGCTCAGACAAATCTGCAACAGTGGTATGTGGGGAAGAAAATTGTTCTGTATCTTGGGAGACTGTGCATGTAGCTGGTCTGTTGCAGCTCAGTGGAAGCAGGGTTTAGAAGGGGAGGGGATCAACAGAGGGAAGACATTTGGAAATGGCTTATGCTTAATAACAGTCCTTCTTTTGGAGGATGACAGTAAAGTTCACTGGCAGGACAACAGTAGCAGGCTTTCTGAAGAATAGAAGTGTGCATGTTATTACTGTGATACTTCTGATAAGATATACAAACTTTACTGAGCTTGAGTGATGGAAAGGAATGTGAATACTAGCAAAAATCCAAAGTGCTCAAGAATTGCATTAAATAGATACTGAATACATTGATTCACAATTACAAGGCACAGAAAAAAAAATAGCAGACTTTTAAGAGCTGTATTACAACAAAGGGTTTGACTTGAGATGTTGATCAACAACCCTAGCTTTTTGTTACCTGTATTGGTGGCAAAAAGAATAGTATGAGGGAATGCTCTTTAGTCTGATGGTTTGTTCAGATTGGCTGACGATGAAGGAGATTTGTGTTAGTCTAGTTTTCTTTACCATTGACCTCTGAAGATGTAAGCAGTGTTTTCCATAGGTGGAACTATATTTGGAAGGGAATGTCTTGTCTACAGATAGTTTTCTGAAAGTAGGCATAAATACAACAGTGAAGTGAGAGTGCGAGTTAGTCTTCTACAGTGGAGGACTTCAGCAGACTGATACATAAGAGCTGTGGAATAATTCCATGTTTTTTTCTACAACATAGCTAATTGCTGTGAAAAGAGCTCATTTATTTTGTGTGGGGGAATAGCTACGGGGGAGAAGACCCCCTACCTTAATCTTCACTAAAATCTACAGACAGTTGACACTGATCTGTGTTGTGGGTTAACCCCAGTAGGCACTTTCCCCCCCACCCCCAGTGGGACAGGGGAAGAGGGAAGGAAGCATAAAAGCAAGAAAACTTGTGAGTGAAAGTAAAATTGTTTAATAAGCAAAGGACAAGTGGAAGAAGAGAGAAACAAGACAAAGTGATGTGAAGGCTATCACTCACCACCTCCTATGGGTGGGCCAGTTCCTGAGCAAGAGATGGCTAACTTCCCTAAACCCCTTAATTTCCCTTTTATTGCTGAACATGACATTTACCTGGACTTCAGCAAAGCCTTTGGCTCTGTCTCTCACAGCATTCTTCTAGAGAAGCTGGCTTAGACAGGTGTACTCTTCGCTGGGTAAAAAACTGGCTGGATGGCCGAGCCCAGAGAGTTGTGGTGAACGGAATTAAATCCAGTTGGCAGCCAGTCACAAGCGGTGTCCCCCAGGGCTCAGTTCTGGGCCCAGTTCTGTTCAATATCTTCATCAATGACCTGGACAAGGGGATTGAGTGCCCCCTCAGTAAGTTTGCAGATGACGCTAAGCTGGGTGGGGGTGTCGATGTGCTTGAGGGGAGGAGGGCTCTGCAGAGGGACCTGGACAGGCTAGATTGATGGGCTGAGGCCAACTGTATGAGGTTCAACAAGGCCAAGTTTCGGGTCCTGCACTTGGGTCACAACAACCCCATGCAATGCTACAGGCTTGGGGAAGAGTGGCTGGAAAGCTGCCTGGCGGAAAAGGACCTGGGTGTACTGGTTGACAGCCGGCTGCATGTGAGCCAGCAGTGTGCCCAGGTGGCCTTCTGGCATCCTGGCTGGTATCAGGAATAGTGTGGCCAGCAAGAGTAGGGAAGTTATCATGCCCCTGTACTCCACAGTGGTGAGACCGCACCTCGAGTCCTGCGTTCAGTTTTGGGCCCCTCACTACAAGAAAGACGTTGCATTGCTGGACCATGTCCAGAGAAGGGCAACAAAGCTGGTGAGGGGTCTGGAGCACAAGTCTTTGAGCAGCAACTGAGGGAGTTGGGGTTGTTTAGCCTGAAGAAGAGGAGGCAGGTTTAGATTGCATATTAGGAAAAATGTCTTGAATGGAAGGGTTGTCAAGAATTGGAACAGGCTGCCCAGGGAAGTGGTCAAGTCCCCCTCCTGATAGGTATTTAAAAGACAGGTAGACAAGGTGCTTAGGTATGTGGTTTAGTGGTGGAATGGCAGTGCTTGGTTAACAGTTGGACTTGATGATCTTAAAGGTCTTTTCCAATCTAAATGATTCTATGATTCCCTATAGTATGGAATATCTGGTTAGTTTGGGTCATCTACATGGTTATGTCCCCTCCCAACCTCTTGTGCACCCCCTCAGTCTGTTCACTGTGATGGCAGAGTGAGAGAAAGGACTTGACACTGTGCAAACGCTGCTCAGCAAGAGCTACAACATTAGTGTGTTACCAGCATTGTTTGGTCACAGATCTAAAACACAGTCCTATATGAGCTATATTAACACCATCCCAGCCAGACCCACTACTGTCTGCTTCACGCAATATGGGATCCCACACAGCCCGGCTTCTGTGTGTGTGTTGAGCTGCGTGTAGTAACATGCCAGCTGTTAAAGCGAGGATACTGCTGATTTGCCTGCTGATTTGTTCTAGTTTGATTCATGCTGTGGTGTTCAGTCTTTACCACACCAGAAAGAAATACGAGGTTGCTCAGGTACAGGTGCTGGAGATAGGTCAGCTCAGGCTACCTCGATGTCAGCTACTCATCTAATGATACTTGGAATTTCTCTGTGAATTGCTGCTGGGGATGCTGCCAGAGCAGAGCTAGCTCCGCATAATAAATATTACTGAAGAATACCGCGATTGCACAGCCATCTTAATGTGATCTGTCAGGACCAGTCTGTCCTGAGGAACCAGAGGTAGGTGATATATTGTGCAACCATAGTGTACTTAGGAGTCACACTTTTAAAACAGTGAAGAAATGCACTCCAAAGGTGGCTTCTGGGTTTAGTCAAATGTGTAGCAAGAGTACTGTGAGATCCAGTGCAGGAATCATCTTTCAGCTGTCTGTCTGTCATCCTTTAATAACAGCGTTTGTAGGTATTCTTACTGTTTCTATTCCAAAATAATGAAATCTCCCAAATCATTAACTAAAAAGGTAGAGTACTTATCCGGGACTGTAGTTCCTGATAGTTTGGGATTTTGGGAAGTCTGCGGCCAGACAGGGTGCTAGACATACAGATTCCTCTGGGCTTTTCACCCAAAGTAAAATCCATAGAAAAGCGGCGAAGAGCCATTGAGGACTGGAGTGGGCTGTGGGAGATTGCATGGCATCATTTAGCTACAAGCTCACTCTCCAGCCAACAGCCATTTTTGTGAAAGGGAGGTGCTCTCCACATGTATGTGTCTTTCACTCTGCAGTAAATGATACTGAGCTTTTCTCTCAAAATCTCTGAAGTCCTACTAAGAACCGTGTCTTACCATTTGTGGATGGGAGGAATAATTGTTTTCTTTGGTTTTAGAAATTTCACTGCAGTAGTAGCATGGGAACAGTTTTATTACAGTGATATTAGTCAGGAGGCTAGAAAGTTCCTGTCAGAGACAAATGTTTAATGCATGGCTGAGAAATACTGTAAGCCACCAAGAGCTCTCTCTTACAGGAACAGCATTCAGAGATAGATCAGGTGGTGTTCTACAGAGAACAGCAAATGTAGTCCATTCTTGTAAAGGTTTTCAGTCATTTTGAGCCAAGACTCCCTATGCAGGTAAAGAGTCTCTTAAGCATTAGCATAGTTTGAAAGAGAGACATTTCTGACTAGCATGCCCATTGCTTATGCCGATTTATGCCATGCTGATACATGATTCTAGAAATACTGTGAAATTAAAGGTCTGTTATTTGAGGACTGGCAAATAAAAATATATTATTAATCTTTGGATATTGGCACAGATGCATGTATGATACTGTTTCAAAACACTAGTGCCATCTAAGAAATGTCTTCATGAACTTAATTGCTACCTTTTCTTAAAAACCAAGGTCAATAAGGCAACTTATTTAAATACTATAGGTTGGATGTGTTTACACCCAAGCATTTCTCTTTCCCAAGGTATCTGGTTTTCAAAAAGTAAAAACCACAACCAACAAAATACAACCACCCAAACCCATTTTATTTATATTTGTGTGTGTGTGTATTTGGATAAGTACATTTAAAATGTACATATATATATATATATATTTGCAAACATATAAGTAAGTGTGTATATAATAATTTATACAATAGACTTATAAATATTTTATATATTATATTTTCATGTGTCTTGTATGTTAGTCATAAAAATAAATACATTTTATGTTGATATTTACATTTTGTTTAAGATTTATGTTTATGTAAATTTAAAAGAATTAGAAAAGGAGAAGAATAAGAGCTGAGAGATGAGTTCACTTACATTACAACCCGAGAGTGTGGAAATTGAAAGTTTTGAGTTCATTCTTTTAATCAAGTGGTTATTTTCAATACAGTGAACTGAGGAGAAATACGTGAATCAATTACATGTTGCATTGTGAATCTGTTTTCTCTATATGTTTGAAAATTAATATTTTTATTCTTGAATAAAATATGGTGCTCTGAAATTTGGTGCCTGTTTATGAGGTAGGAGATGGAAGTGCTGCGCTGAATGTAGGGTCACAGTATGAAAGCCTGCTTCTGCTTTGTCTTTTGGTCAGAGGGAGATAGTCATGCTTACCCTGAAAAGTCAGCAGGACAGGCCAGTGTACTGAGATATTTGGTGAATGGAAGGAGGAAGGGGAATGGACTGTCCCATCTGCAGTATGGATGGCCATTTTGGATTTAAATTGGTACTCATTTTAATCACCAATGTCTCCAGTCCCCCACCATAATAAAGAAACTTCTATCACAGAAGCTTTTGGTAAACTGTGGGCTGTGCCAAGTACTTTTGGAAACAGAAGACATAAGACATGAAGATGCAATTGTTCGTCATTTATGTCCTTTGTCTATCAAAAAAGCAAAACGCCCTGTAATGGATGAAGAGAATGAAAGTGAGCTAGAATTAGTGAAACAGTGTTGTTTGAAATGAGGATTAGCCTTCTCATGTATATTTTATTTTGTGTTAAGAAAAAAATCAGATATTACCACATCTCATCTGTGGCTTGTCACCTATGCTGTTTGTGGGCTGCGGACATTTCAAAGGGAAAGATGGAAAATTCCTAATATGAATGGGGGAGAGAAGTGCTAATTAGGAATTGCTCATTATCTTTATGTTCACAGATCTCAACTACAACTGTTGGATGCTGATTTATTGTAGTTACAGTGTCCTTCAATAAATACTATTTTTCTTTCTGTTGGACTGGCAGGAAGATTTTAATCAAATTTGTGTATCAGTTGCTAAGCTGCTTGGTGATACTTTATACCCTTAGTTCAAAAAATTAGACTTAAATGAAAAAGCAAAGTACATGCTTGCACAGCTTTAATTCTGCCCTCTTTGTAGAAAACGTATGTTGTATTGCCTGCTCTGCCTTTGAACTGTGCTGTGTAAAAGCTGTTCAAATGTTCTTTGCATTCAAGTCTTAAACAGAAGAAACACCATGCTTCCTAAGTCCTTCCCCTTTAGACATTTGATGTCATCTAATGCTTTTCTTATTTATCCTTTAATAACGTGACAGAGTGCACCACTTCACCTGATTTATTCTACTTCCTAATAAAACAAAAAATAACAACAGCCAAAACAAAAAAACCCCAATGGACCCTGTGCTCTAAAACAAACACAAAACTGTTGATACAAGCTACCCCATAAATCAGGGATTTGGGGCCTTTTGACGCCAGCTGTTGTAGGAGCAGAGTGAAGGCTACGTGAGCATACATCCTGCTTTCTGATTTTCAGGAGTCTTTTTCAGCTCTTGTGAAAAGGTGTAAGATACTGCTGGGGAACTGTAACTCAGGTTATGGTTTCCCAGTAGCATTAGACAACCTAGTTTGGGACTGCTTTGTTGTGGGATCCATTTTTTTATCTATCCCGCTTTTACCGAGTTTGTTTTCATCTGGATCATTTTTCTGAACAAGGTTATTGTCTGGTTTTGTAACTGCCTATGCCAAGACAAGGAACAGGAATGTATTTGTGGCTGGGAGGGGACTGTATGTAGCAGCTGCTGGTTTGCAGTGCTGTGGGTCAGCACACAGTGTTAAATCTTTGATTATTTTTTTTTTCCAAATAGCAATACAGTATAGAGATGCACACTAGTGCCTGTTCTGAGATGAGGATGGAATTGCCAATCTCTGTCTTTGATCAATGCAGTTTAGCATACAGGATTGTGGTTCCACTCTGGGATTAATTTGAATTTGGGTACTACTTTTCCACCATTTTGGTACTGTGTTGCACGTTAATCTTTATAGGGTATATCATCTAGTAATCTTCTTCCATAGGGTTCCTGAGGTATTTGCTGAGTCATGTCAAATATGAGGTTTGATAATAGGATGCAGTAATGAACAGTAGTCAGTAGTATTTACACAGAACTTAATTGATTATTGTTCTGTTCTCTGGTGCTCAGTTACCTGTTTGGATTTTTTTTTAATTGAAACATTAAAATCTGCTACTTGACATGCTGTGAGTAGTACTAGTACACGGTAAATTAATAAAAACCCCTACTTCAGTGCTTTCCTTAATATGTGGAACAGCATTTCAGTGCATACACAAATGCATGCAGAGCTCCAGCTGGGGTTTGTCCTGTGGTGGCTAAAGAAACTAAGCACATAAGTTAGCCACTTCAAAACATTTAATATATTCAGTTCTGTTGCACATATTAGCGGCATCTTATTTCCTTTAAAATATATGCCCCATGGGTTAAATTTCAGTAAGAAATCCAACATGAGAAAGTTAAATAAAAAGGTATTTAAAATACATCTGCAAAATATCAGAAACACAAGTGACTATGCTCACATAAAAAGGATCTTTTTGAAATACAGGACTATTGAAATTTCCATTTGTGTTTTGAAATAGACCTTTCTGGATCTCCTGGGATATTAATTAATACTCTGGAAGTATCTAGAAAGAAAGTTATTCATTAGCTTAGTAAAAGGAAAGTGATGAAAATGCAGAAGGCTAATTGTATTGTTGCATGTAGTTTCCTTTTGCTTTTTTCCTATATTAATTTGGTTTTGTACTTTGCTGGCTTTGAGAAGTGTATTTGGAAAAAATAAAAATGGAAAAAGACATTGCTGTGGTGCTTTCAGAAATAGATAGCAGAATTTATATTTTGGTACTGAAATAAGTAGCCTTAAGTATTCTACTGCTTTTTGAAATAATAGAGAAATATAAACCTGTTGTAGTCATACCATTCACAATTCGTATGTTAACAAATATGTTATCAAGTGTGTCTTGCTGTACTAGTAAATAATCCTCTGGGAAAGTTCTGCTTTCATGGTACAAAGGATGATTTTGATGATTTGCCTGAGTGGTGGCTAATTGATGTGGAACTAGTCTAACACACCTGTTGTGCTGATCCACTGCATGTCCTTTGGAAAATAATCTAACAGGTTTTCCAAAGCACTTTTGAAAATGAATGTGTGTTCAGTATTCCTCCATCATTAGGTGGGGGATATGTGGTTTAGTACTTCCTGTTACCATTTCTTGGACATTTGGTAGTTCTTCTCCATTTATTCCTGTTTATGTATATGCTACTTTGCTAGGTATTTTAATGCCACAGTTGTTTAAACAGCACTGTTGAAGAATTGAGAATGTCGAGTGAGGCGATTTGTATTAAATTATTTTGTAATGTGTATTCAGTTACATAAACTGTAGATGAGGATTGTAATAATTAATAGGTTGAATGAAACAGTATTGATTAAAATTTGGCAGGGACACCAAGTTAGTATCTCTTCTCTCGATTATCGTGAGATCTTTAATGCACAGGCACAACCGGACTATCTTTACATCTCCTCCCTTAGAAGAATTCAGAGCCCCTCAGTTGAACATACTGAGATAATATCAATTCTGTGTCTCAGAAAGGTGACACATATTAGCATACATAATTTCTCATACAACTATTACCAACTTTTTATTAGTGCATAATGTCTTTTCTAATGGAAATCCTTTTTGAGCAGCATTTCTTTTCTCCTTTTCAGGAAAAAGAAGAATTGATTGAAGAATGGCAGCCAGAGCCTCTTGTACCTCCTGTACCAAAAGATCACCCAGCTCTCAACTACAACATTGTTTCAGGGTAAATGTAACCAAAATAAATTCTGTTTTTTATTTCAACTCAAATACCTAATGTCCGTGGTTTTAAGTGAATACCTTACTAAGCATTTCCATATCCTTAAAACCTTTTATAAATGATTTGCATTTTTAGATAGCAGGACTGAATTTGCCATAGAAGAGATGGTCTTGGTTTTGCAACGTTATCAAGACTATCTTATTAAGAAAATCTGTCTTGCTCTAATTGTTGTAATTAATTTTTTAAAAAATATTGGAGGTGGGGGGAGAGACACTTTACCTTCATTGTGGGGTCTGTATTGTTTGATAACAATTTGTTTCATTTTTTCTGACTATGTAGACCTAGACCTCCAAAAGTGGTTACCACCTTCTGTGTAAGGGTCGGGGGGAAACTGTCATCACAAATCTTTTGAGAAGAAACTGATTTTGTGGCTAGCCACTTAATGCTTCGTGAAAAGTTGTTCCTCTGGACAATAAGAAGTGGAGGTGCTTGATGGCAAAGTTATTTTGCAAGGAAATTATGGCTCAGCATTAATTTCTTTTGCGTAAGGAGGCTTTTAAAATGTGTGCTGACTTAGGCAAGAGTCACAGTATTTCAGAAATTGTGTTGAAATTTCTTTCACAAGCTTCAGATTTGTTTGTGTCAGTAACTTTTACAATATAAGCCTTCTTAATATCATTCTAGTGACACTGATAATTTAAAATAATTTAGTGACGGAGCTCAATTATTTGCTGTCATAGGAGTTCCATTTTCTGCCACCACAGAAAAGGGATGCCTATTTTGATCAACCCGGATGTGAACAATCCTTCTGTTATTGTTCAGAATTTTGAAACAAACAGTACTGTGGACTTAATGGAAGTGTTGGATGTTTTAAAAAAATCTGAACAAATATATCTTTTAGATTGATTGAGAATATGTTTGGATTATTTAGTTTTCCAGTGTTCATAGCTGGGGAGTGCATTGTGACAAAATGTTAGTGTGTTGTGGCTGTTAAACTTAATAGTGGCTATGGGGAAAACTTGGCATTAGTCTTGTAAGATTTAAAATGTTAACTACCTTCCCATAAGTTGCTTAACAGCCATGAGATTGCAACTTGGACTGTGAACTTAACCCAAATTTCAGAACTGATACAGAAATGAAAGTGTCTGCATCCTCATTCCAGCTCAAGAGCATTTCTATCCTCTTTTTAATTAGTATTTTAGGGCAACCTTGTTGATGCTAATGAGGTAGCCTTCTTTCAATGATTTTCATGTTGTTAATGTCTACCACAAATGGTGATTTACATAGATCCTAATTATCTTTGTATATGGTGGTTTAATATTGCCTATTTGCAGTAATGTGTAGATAGGGTTTATATAGGCTCATAACCACTTAGGAAGTATTAAAAATTTCAGTAAAAGTTTTGACCTACTCGGGGGGGGAGGCAGACTTCCTTCTCCCTCAATATGCCAGACAGTTTGTGCTTTATGTTACCTGTGCTCCTTTCTGCTGAGCACTTGCATAATCTCAGTAATGTTGCCAAATGATATGCAAAGTCAATAATGCAGAGACTTGTCCAAGCAAAAAAAAGTGACCAATCTTGAATCAGCTGTGAAGATGTTACCCATGATGGCTTGGTCACATACCAGAAATTAGTTACATCGTGTGATAGCCTTTCTGTGAACTAATCTATGCGAGATAGCTTAGTTGTACGAGATCTTATTCAGAAAATGTAAACCTATTTCCTAAAATAGTATGTCTGCAAAATTCTCATGCTGATTCTCATTTTGCTTTACAATAAAAAGGCACTAATGAACTAGCTTTTAACTTCGTCATCTTCTGTGACTGATTTTTGAACACATGCAACACGTAAGAGATAAATGAGAGGTCCAGTACAGATGGAGTGCTTTCGGTCCTTGCAAGTTCTTTGAGTTTAGCTAGAAATTGTATTTTGAATTACAGTTTCAGCTGGATAACTCAGTATCTCTTAACTGTTGTCCCTGACCATGATACCCAATGAACTGTGTTATACTAGGGAAAGGAAGAAACATGAAACTATGAAGAAATTAAGTGTTTCACTGTTTTTCTTCTGCAAAGGCTTGGTTCTGACATTGCAAGGAAGGTTTTATGATATAATATAGCCTGGGAGGAACACAAAGAAATCGTCCGAACATCCAGGGATAAGGTTAGGAAAGCTAAAGCCCTGATAGAATTAAATCTGGTCAAGGGCAACAAGAAAAGCTCCTATAGGTATGTTGGTGATAAAAGGAAGACTAGTTACCGAGGATATGGAGAAGGCTGAAGTACTCAATGACTTTTTTGCTTCAGTCTCCACCAGCAAGTGCTCTATCTAGCCACACTGCCCAAGTTGCAGAAGGCGAAGGCAGGGACTGGGAGAATGGACAAATGCCCACTGTAGGATAAGGTCAGATTTGAACATGCACAAGTCCATGGGACCTGATGAGATGCATCCGCAGGTCCTGAGCAAACTGGAGGATGAAGTTGCTAAGCCACTACCCGTCATATTTTAGAAGCTGTTGCAGTCTGATGAAGTTACCACTGACTGGAAAAGGGGGAAACATAACCCCCATTTTTAAAAAGGGAAAAAAGGAAGACTCGGGGAACTGCAGGTCAGTTAGTCTCAACTCTGTGCCCAGCAAGATCATGGAGCAGATCCTCCTGGAAACTATACTAAGGCATGTGGAAAACAGAGAGGTGACTGGTGACAGCCAGCATGACTTCACTAAGGGCAAATCATGCCTGACAAATTTGGTGGCCTTCTATGATGGGGTTACAGCATTGGTGGAATAAAGGAAGAGCAACTGACATCATCAGCCTGGACTTCTGCAAAGTGTTTTGACACTGTCCCGCACAACATCCTTGTCTCTAAATTGGAGAGACGTGGATTTGATGGATGGACCACTCAGTGGATAAGGAATTGGCTGGATGGTTGCACTTGAAGAGTTGTGGTCAACTGCTTCATGTCCAGGTGGATACCAGTGACAAGTGGTGTTCCTCAGGGACTGAGTATTGGGACTGGCACTGTTTAACATCTTTGTTGGCAAAATGGACAGTGGGATTGAGTACACTCTCAGCAAATTTCCTGACAACACCAAGATGTGTGGTGTGGTCAACACGCTGGAGGGAAGGGTTGTCATCCAGAGGGACCTTGACAGGCTTGAGAGGTGGGCCCATGTGATCTTCGTGAAGTTCAACAAGGACAAGTGCAAGGTCCTGCATGTGGGTTGGTGCAATCCCAAGCACAAAAACAGGCTGGGCATAGAATGGATTGAGATCAGTCCTGAGGAGAAGGACTTGGGGGTCTTGGTTGATGAGCTCAGCATGACCTGGCAATGCACACTCACAGCCCAGAAGCCCAATTGTATCCTGGGTTGCATCAAAAAGAGCATGACCAGCAGGTCGAGGGAGGTGATTCTCCCCCTCTGCTCTGGTGAGACCCCACCTGCAGTACTGCGTTCAGCCCCAACATAAGAACATGGACCTGCTCAAGCAGGTGCAGAGGAGGGCCACAAAGATGATCAGACGGCTGGAGCACCTCTTCTATGAAGACAGGTTGGGGGAGTTGGAGTTGTTCAGCCTAGAGAAGAGAAGGCTCCAGGGAGACCTTACAATAGCCTTCCATTACCTAAAGGGGGCCTACAGGAAAGCTGGAGAGGGAGTTTTTACAAGGACGTGTAGTGATAGGACAGTGGGTGATGGCTTTAAACTGAAAGAGGGTAGATTTAGATTAGCTATAAGGAAGAAATTCTTCACAATGAGGGTGGTGAGGCACTGGAACAGGCCCAGAGAAGCTGTGGATGTCCCCATCCCCAGAAATGTTTAAGGCCAGGTTGGATGGGGGGCTTTGAGCAACCTGGTCTAGTGGAAGGTATCCCTCCTTATGGCATGGAGGTTGGGAACTAGATGATCTTTAAAGTCCCTTCCAACCCAAACTATTCTATGATTCTATGATGATTGTGTTAGCATCCATGTTTTGGATGTAATTATTCACTGGAATAAGCTTCTCCATGAGTGTTTTCTGCCTAACCATGTGTATTCCTTTAGAAGGTTGGATAAAAGTCTAATAGCAAAGTATGGCCATGTTTTCATGAAGGCTGCAGCTTTGTTAGTGGCAAGTTGTTGGTGAATATTAGTGTATTTTTTAGGTTTGTGAGGTGGAGCTGTGGGGGCAAATTGTAAATTTACCAGGTTTAATAGCGTGTTGGGAATATACTCAACCTTGTGTTAGTGCTAAAATGCGTAAGTATAGATCTGCTCTTCTTAATGTCTGCAAACCTAAGTAGTTTTCACTTAACAGGATTCCAGCATTTGGTACAGGTCATTGAAGAGCAACAGATCGAGATATATTTTTAATGACAGTCAGTTCCCCAAGGCAGTTTGGTGTGCATTTGTATGATACTACTGTGCAGAAGATGCACTGCAGTAATGCAGGACTGCTCCTCTGTGGGATCAAGTTCAGCTTGTGTCAGTTTAAGGTCATGGAATGACAGTGGTAAAGATGCACAGCATGCATACTGTGTTAGTAGAAAGCTTTCCAAAGCTGTTTTGTAAGCTTTGCAATTGCTTGGTTGAAGCAACGTGCACTTAATTTTTAAAGCAAACAGATTTTTAAAAAATCCATGATTTTGTTTTATGTGACATTCAGGCAGCTCAGTGTTTTTCTTAACTTTTAGTGAATAGCTTGGACTTAAAGTTTATTTGCTTGCTTTGCACAACAAATGTACCCATTGAAATATTGTCAACAACGAAATTTGGAGCAGTTGTGCACAGGCATTTGACATTTGAGCAGCTCTGTTTGATTTTGATTGTGAAAATTGCTTACAGCTAGTTTCCACGTGGTAAAAGCTTGTTGAAACTATTGCGTTTGAGGAATAGTATAGGATCTCAACTGTAATATTTGACAATGCATTCAGAAATGGGCAGAGATAAAGTTTTGTATTTGGCTTAGCTTTGAGACCTCTCAACACTCTGATTAAGTGAAACTTTTGATTTTCTAATACTGAAGCATATAATTGCCAAAATAGTATTGCTTTTAGAATACAGCACACAGATGTGATGCTTGCATTTAAAGAAGTAATAGCTATTTTTTTCTTCAATTTTTTAATAACTATCTAAATCATGTTTTTTTAGGGTAGAAAATTTCTCTGCCCTTTGCTTCATACATACTGTGTTCTTGTTCATTTGTTAATACTGTGTGTTTTCACGCTTTCTGTGTTTCCTGATTACATGACTTACTCAAACCGTTATGGATTAAACAAAGTTGGAAAGTTTGATGATGAGATGACAGGTTATACAGTATTTTTGTCTGCTTACTGCTAATACCTATATTTCAGGAGCCCTATGCAGTACAAGATTGGTATTGTGGGTTTGCTTTATGACAAAAACATTGGGTTTAAATTAATTTTTATCATGGAAGTAAGTAGCAATGAAATTTCCTTTTTATTTGTAGTATTGCTTCTTTCAAATAGATATCACTTTGCTTTTGAAGGAGAAGCTTTAATTATCTCTTCAGGAGTCATCTTTGTATAAATAAAGTTTTCAACAAGGAATCATTAAACTAAATATCTCAGGAAGGTATTTACAGATTCCTTATTAAATTACAGGAATGCAGGTTTTGCTGAGTATGGTAATATATTTGTGACTTGACACCGAAATTAAATATTGATTGGCAGCTGTAAAGGAAGACGTGGAACGAGAGAATGTTGAAAATCTGTGTGCCTTTTACTGTTGAAAAATAAAACTCCTGTACTGTTTGACTGTTAATGAAAATGGCAACTGTTCATTCATAACAATAGGCCTGTAATTTTTTTTCAGTCCTCCCACCCATATAATCACTGTTAACGGCAAGGAATGTATAAACTTTGCATCATTTAACTTTCTTGGACTTTTGGATAATGAAAAGGTTAAGGTGAGTTCTTCCAGTTACTGTATTTGTGTGATTATTCCTCTCTTACATTGTATATTATCTTGAAATTAAGAATGACTTCAGAAAGTGCAAACTTTGTCAAGGAAGTATACGTCTAAAGCAGAAAGGAAGATTATAAACCTTTTGATTTTGTGCTATTTAAGTTTGTCTTTTTACTAAAGGTTAATCTGGTATAGTTATTGCATACTAGCCAATTATAAAGTTAGATTAGTATCTAATGTCCTTAATCATTAGAATACAATGAATGATGCTTAAACCCTTGTTTAAAATAGTTTTCATGTGAAATTAATTAATGGAATTCACTACATTATTACACCTTTTGTAAAGCAGATCATGTTACATGATGCAAGAACTGACCTGTGTATATCCATATAACACTGTCAATGTGAAGTGTATAGAAAAGTTAGAAGTCTAGTGTAGGAATAAATATTTAATGTATTTTCTATTAAAGAGTGCGGCCCAGGCATCTCTGAAGAAATATGGTGTTGGCACTTGTGGACCTAGAGGATTCTATGGTACTTTTGGTGAGTACCTTTCTTAGATCTGTCTTTAAAGGTGTTCAGACTGGTTTGGTAAGTCAGACAAAATAGTCATATATATAAGCTGCGAATTATTTCTATCACTGTAGGATTGGTAGCATTTATTGTTCATAGCTTTGTTTCTTAATCGTTTTATGTGTTTTCTTACTGTTTCTAATGCCGGTCTTGGAGGAGAGTTGCAAAGTTAAATATAGTCTGTTTTAGTTCTGGTCACCACAGCAGAAAGAGAAAATAAATGTACTAGAATTTAGTCATGCTAAATTTAATTGTAAATTAAATTAAAGTGTAAATTAATAATAAGTTTCTAAGTAGACCACAAGAGGGCAGTCTGATTTCTGTGATCAAGTTTATTAGGTAAGTTTCTCTAATGCTGTAGTCAGAATGAAGTTTTCCTTTCCTGGTAACATTAATGTTGTAATTAAGAGATTTTATGGCATGACCAGGCATTACTAAGAGTTTTTTCATTCTTTTTAAGAAGGCATAAGTTGTTAAATATCAGCCTCTGGAAGTAGTTCTTTACAGGCCTTGGTATTTTGAAATACTGCATGGAAACCAAAGAGTAATACATGAATAGATGCAGTTTCAGGCTAAAACCATCAATTCATCTTCTTATGAACCTTTCCAGTCTCTTCCCAGAGGTCGTGGAATTCACAGCATATTTGTACTCAGATGATTTCATAGAATTAGCTTCCTATGTCTTGACTTGAATTCAGGACTAACTTGAACTTTTCTCAGTTAAACAGTCTCATCCTTTAAGTGATCAAGCAGGTGCTTGTACCTATTTTGATTTGTTAAAGTCTATATATCAGAGCAAAGTTGAGTCTTTGATATCAGTCTTATAGATTGTTCATTAGCCTACAACCATAATTCATTTCTACAGAAGATGATGGTAGCCCATTGATTAGCAGGGAGCTTTTAGGAAGATTCCCTCACTGATCACAGTTCCCCAGCGATTCTGATTCATACAAGGCGCCTTTTTTTTTTTTTTTTTTTTTTCCTCCAAAAGCACTGAGAAGCTCAAAGGAATTTGTGGTGCAAGGCCACCTGCTTTTTGAGTCCAGGCTGATTTTAAGTTTTGTGAAATCTTTCACTTCGCTTCTTTGTAGTAATTATTTGAAACAGACTAGTTAAAAGTTGATTTTCTCTGTTAAGTGAGACATTCCTTGGGTTGTTTCCTGCCCTCTTTGGAGGTCTAATCCTAAGATCCAAACTGTATAGCTTTCACATTTAGTTTGGTTGCTGTTCATTGGCTTCTGAATTTTTGGGGTAAGCGCTCCATTTCACAAAGCCGGGGATATATCCTGTGCTATTGCTGCATGACATCACTAGTGAAGAGACGATGTTATACTCACCTATTTGAGATACCATCTTTTACAGATAAAGTAATGGAGAATTGTTTTAAAATTTGAGACAAATACCTGCTGTTGTTATTGGATCCCAAACTATCTTCCTTGGTTTTAAACATTTGAGTATTGCAGGATTATGCATCGCTGATAAAAAACACTTCTTACACCAGTAATGTTGTATGCCTCAAGCTTTTCACACCATTTTTCATGTGCTGTGGCTTTGGTAAATGAGTTATGTTGTGTCCAGTACTACGTAGTTTCTTTTTACTTAACTATATAGGATATAATTGATGGTTGTCAATTGTTGTCACTCAGAATTATCCCCTCTTGGGGGCTGATATTTCATATCAATATTAGAGATCTCTTTATTTGGAAACATAGATATCATGTTATAATTTATTTTGAATGGAGTCTTGATTCTTCATATCTCTACCTGTTTAAAGGGATTTTTTAGATTTAGTGAGTCTCTGTTAAGATGTTTTTGCTTTGTGCTGTATCCCTGAAAACTCCATCCATGCCTTTATCCTATTATAAGCTTGAAACACTAGTATATTCACACATAACTGAACCTTTATGGTTATTTTCTCCATAGTGACATCTGAGGGGTGTATCACTTTTTTGGTAGTGGTGGGATTTAAGGCTATTGTTGATTACCAAGCCGCCACAATTTCAGTACTACTGTGAAGATCAAGACTGGCTACCTGATAAAATATGTGAAAGGTGATGTGATCTCAGTTGTTCTGCTTTTGACTTGCATGCGAGCACATGCTAGGCACTAAACTGGCATTTCATAGTGGTTGTTGACTATAATAGCTTTATTAAGGTTTCATAATTATCTAGAAATCTGTTCCAATCATATCTTCCTCTGTGCAAATGTACCCTAGGTAGTGTTTCCAGCTTTCACTTAAGCTGGGCTAATCCAGGTGATGTAATCAGACTAAAGCAAATAATTGCAATAAAGGAGAGTCAGATGGTATCCTGTTTTCATCATGGTAGAATGGTAGTGAAGCCTTAATTGATACTGTCTTAAGCTTTTCAACCTCACAATTAGACAAAGCATTCATTCCCTTATGTAACGATGTATCAAATTTGTGTATACTATATGTCATTCTGAACTTAAATGTTCTTGCCCTTGGTTAAATTTTCTAGGCGTGTAAAATTTTTTTCCTTAACAGAAATCTGATTATATTCATTAGCTCATTATTGCTGACAGTATTTCTTTCGCCCACTGTTTTTACCTAGCCCTTGCTCAGCGTAGTGGTGGTTGTTGCTGGGTAAAGCTCAGTGAGAAGCCTGCAAGTTTTCATTTTTAACTGTGATGGTCTTGTCATCTTTTCCCGTTTTTAACAGGTCTTTTACGCTGAAACAAAACATTTTTCCTTGTTGAGTATCAATAACTGGGTACTCAAAGTAGTAGTTCAGTCCTCGTTTCCCCTAATTTGTTATTCTCTACCGGCAGGACTTCAAGAAGGAAAATTTTTGGCTGAATCTTGTTTGTATTGCATGTTTTAAGTGCCATGTGGCCAGCCTCTTTTTTGGGTGCTTGCTGCCAGAAAAAGATATTTCTTGGGCTTTTTGTTCAGTAATTGAATTGAAGTTCATCCATCCTGTTTTGAAGCCTGACTGGAGATTGTTTCACTGGTCCTGAAGTCAATGAAACAATAAAGAAAAAGATACAAAGATTCTGAAAAAGGACTACTTAAAATCTCTATCAGAAAGTAGATTAGATAACTCCAGTCAGTATCATTCCTTCCAAAGACTTCGGAGAAGAAAGGCTGTTCTAGGTTTCTCTGCATGTTTGGTGTATCTAATACATCTGGATCAAAGTGATAGGTAGCAAAAGAAAACTTTCAAATAGTGAGTGATCAAACTTTTTATTTCCATTTAAAACCAGTGGAAAACAAAATAAAAGAGTTCCTTTCCATTCTATTTTTTTGATGCTTAGGTAAACATTAGTAAAGGACAGTTGCAGATTTATAGTTTGCAGTCTATGGATAAAATTGCTCTTGACCGTGATTGGGAGGCTATTGTTTGAAGACGTGTCTTTTGCTTTTATCGTATAAATATGAGAGTTAGGTGGATGTGCCCTTTTGGAGAAAGGTTATGTTAGATATTTGTTTAGTACGGCAAAGTTAAGATTTTTACAAAGCCCTTTCTTCCTACACCTTTGCTGTTGGTACCTGGCTAGAAATAGCAACATTGATGTAACTGTACCTCATAGGCTATTGAAGAATCTGTATTTTTAACTGATGTTGCCTCATTTGATTTTAGTTTCAATGAACGTTCATTGTAAGTGGAAAAAGGTAACATTTGGCCAATGGTGATCTTTCAAGTCACACACTAAGGACCTCTATTTGCCCTTTAATCTTATTTATTTCCAGTTGATAAAAAAGCATAATTCTCTGACTAAGCAGAGAATTTCCTAGCAGAAGCAGGTAGTGGCAAGAGAGTTACCCAATTAAAATAAGTTTGTCTGATACAGGTTATTTTGCTTAGGCAGAATACTTAATGCTGTGGTCCCCTTTCTGTAGCAACTGGTGGTCCCCTTTCTGTAGCAAGCCCACTCACCATGTGGTATTACTTCTCTTTAATCTTTTGATTTAGTGGTGTTTTGTTTCTAACATGGGTCACTTTGACTGAATTGGTTTGGGAAGTGCTTGTGTGTGTAATTATGTCAATCTATCTTAAGGGTGAGTAATCTCTGGCATGGAGACAGTAACTTTCTCAATTGGCTGAATGCGTTCAGTAGATGGTATGTGATTGCAGCCTGACAAGAGCAGTTTTCTGTTATAATGATAGCTGTGCTATATGCAGTGGAAGCATCAGCTTGGAAGAACTGACATTCTGCCAGCAGGACCTCATTAATTGCTATAAATTACATAGCTATTTGTTGTCTGACTGTAGTAACTGTGCTCCCTAGTCACAGTCCAGGAACGCTGCATCATTTACTTGTGGTCTAATCACAAGTAGATTTTAATTACCATTGCATAAGAACATGAGAGAACCACATTACATAAATATTTTCAGATCTATCAAAGCTTCTGACTAATATTGGCTTACTTGTCAGTTTAAGTAAGGCTGGATAGGTTGCAGCTGGTTTTTGAGAAGTTATTTGTTGTTAACACTGTTCCTACAAATAAACATTCTGTTTGCTTCAATTAGATGATTGCTAAAAGCAGTGATTGTCTTTCTTATACGAAAACTATCTTAAGATCTCTTCATGTTTTCCCTCAAATAGATGTGCACTTAGAATTAGAGGAAAGACTAGCAAAATTCATGAGGACGGAGGAAGCTATTATATACTCATATGGATTTGCAACAATTGCCAGTGCTATTCCTGCATATTCTAAAAGAGGGGACATTGTGTTTGTGTAAGTATTGTTTTCCACTTTGGAAATTCCAGATTAAAGAGTTTTCCTTTCAGTTTTTCTTTTTCAGTATTGTTAATCATTAAGTTAACTAGTTAGAAAATAATGCTGGTTTTGATCAAGTATTTTGTTGTATAAAGCTCAAATATATTTTCTTCGCCAATAACTCCAAACCAAATCAGTCACTGCTTTTATTATGGAAGAGCAGACATGGGCACTTAACTAAAAAAAAACTGCAACAAACCAAACCTGTGCCTGCAAGGACTAACAGAAGTCTAATACCTAGTTTTCTTAAGAATCTATGCAGTCATATTTGCTTTTCTCCTCTTCACTGCTGGGTTTTCACCTTTCTTGCAGGACAGTTGTTCCCCTCATGCATATTTGCAGTGGATTAGTTGGATAAATATCGGTACATGTTAAAATAACACAAGAACAGCTATGCAGGGTCAAACTAAGGATTCAGCAAGTATGTGGTCCCTGAGAGCATCCAGTCATAGTTTGTCTAGGGAAGAGTAAAAAACCAAGAGGAACAATGTAACAATACTGAAAACTTTCTGAGCCAAAGAGGAGGGTTTGGAATTAGTAGCTGGTGGATTTTTCTTCAGCCTTCCTATTCTTTTAGTAAATCTTTAATATCTGCAATGCTTCTATGACATGTAATTTCACAGTTTAACTTGAATATTTTGTGAAAAAGACATGAAAAAATACCTGTTTTGAATATAACACCTACTAATTTCAATTGATGCATTTGATTTTGAGGCAGTGAACCGATGCATCTTCTCCATTCGGGGGGGAGTGAGTGAGTGGCTATGTGGGGCTTAGCTGCCTGCTGGAGTTCAGCCGCAACACACCGATGCTTTTGTATTTGTCTACCAAAATCTTTCTTCAGTGCTTTCGTTTCTAAGTGTAAGGCTTACAGCCTATTTGACTTCTTTTACAGAAGTTCTTTCATTACTTTGATCGTGGCTTTTGGTCATCTTTGAACATTTTCTGGATCTGCTTTTTTGAGACAAACAGGGATTGTGCACACTATTGGATATGCCTGTGTATCCTGGATTTAGCTATCTTGTACTGTTTCAGCTTCTCACTGACAAAAGATCTCAACATATTTAAAGGCAACTTGGTTGAAATTACTGCATTTAGCATGTGCAGAAGGTTTGATCTAGTTGCCACTTTTAAAAGATTACTCAACTTAAGCAGTTGTGAAATTACATACCCCACCATGCTCAGAGGTTTGCTTTTCCAACACTTAAAAATGGCAGTTCTTTGAACACTGAGATAGTAATTCCCAAAGGATATTAAAAAGAACATTTTTATTAGTAGGAGGACTACTATAAATGTTACAGGCACATCTTTGCGCCTTTTTTCTAAAACCTGGAGCAATGGAGTGAGAGGTTTCTGCGATCATTACCATGGTATTGTACCCGGTCCATGGAATGCTGTGCTCAAATAAACTGCTGTCACATACAAACAAAAAGGACCACTGTACACTTCAAGAAAAAAAGCTGTTGGCTTGCCTTTAGTGGCGATACTGCTTAGGAAGGTTGAGAAGCTTTGGAAATGAGTTTTCAAAATGTAAATAAAATTTATGATGCTTTAATAAATCTGTTTTTAACTACACCTAAGTACACGTATCTGCTCAAAAGCAGGATGTTCCTAATAGCCAGCTTTCTTTGAATAATTGTTAAACCAAGTGCAAACTTAGAAGGGCTTGCTGTATTTACAGAGATGAAGCTGCCTGCTTTGCTATTCAGAAAGGATTACAAGCATCTCGTAGTAACATCAAGTTATTTAAGCATAATGATATGGCTGACCTTGAACGACTGTTGAAAGAACAAGAGACCGAAGATCAAAAGGTACCATTCCTTTAAAGAGATATTTGTAATCTTTTGTGCCACCTTTCCCACATTTTTTTACTGTGTTGTGTGACTGAATGGATACAATGCTTATAGGCAGTTATTTGGTTTTCATAAATCTCTATTGAGCAGTTAATTTTGCTTATGTAATTAAGAACGATTTTAAAAAATACTTATTTGTTTGCATTTTTCTGCATAATCACCAGAAGTAAGCTCACAGGCATTGGTAGTGAGAGAATATCTTTAGGTGGAGATGTATGAAGTGTGAGATTATTTTATTTTTTTAAAATACTATTACGGAGCTTCTTTTTGGTATTTCAGAAATTTATGTAACTGCATTTACCTCATAAAACATGCAAATTAATTATTAGTTCAAACACCACACCAAAAAATCAACACAAAAGCAGCTAGTCCTAACTGTTTAATTTACAGTTCAACATGATTTTTTTTTGGTTTTTTTTCCTTCGACTCTTCCCCTATTTTGCACTTAACTCTTAAGATGTTGTGTCTCTTGAAAAATTTGGGTCAGTTTGATGGCTTGCTTCTCATTCTGACAGTAATACAAAGGGGTGTCCAAAAGTAGCTGCTAAAATCAGGATCAGCAAGTACAGATAACTTGGTTAAATGAATTCTAAAAGAATTAGCTGAAGAGTTGTCACCGTTATGTGCCTCATTCACAGAATGCTGGAAAGTTACAGCTGGAAGAAAGCTGATTTTGTGCTAACACACAGAAAAGTAAAGCAGATAAACTGCATAATTATAAGGCAATTAGCTTAATAACAATCTAAATCAGTAATGGATCTGATTAATATCAAATTTATAGACAACATACTGTTAACATACCTTCATTGAAAATTAATTTTGTCAGATTATCTTTACATGAATTTTTAGATGTGGTTGACAGACTAGTGATGCAATTTGTGTAATGTATTTGGTTTGTTAGAGCAGAATGCTTTGATATAGCTACATGATTAAAGTTTCTTAATGTAATTAGCTGAATGTGAACACAAAGTTGGTGGCCAAGAGCTTAATGTAGACTATGTGTGTATAACTAAGACATAGTGACTAGGAAGGGGTGGATCTTACCACTAGAATTGGTCCAACTTCGAGTGTACTGTGCCTAGTTTTGGTGCCTACCACTCAGAAGAGTCAAAGACATGTTCTCTGAATCTTTTTACAAGAATTGAAGAAGGTAAGAAGCATGACTTAATATCCTTGATCAGAAGATATCAACAAGGTTTAAGGTAAATACAAGGGGAATGGCATTTTAAAACAACAAAACTCAAATCATACCATTGAAGTTTAAACAGAAACCAGTGCAGGATATTCGTATTGGCTTATATTGTCCAGAGATCAGACAAGGAAATTGTGATTTGAATGTTATGAATGCTTTCGGATTGTGTTTTATGAAGACACTACTTGTGAGAGGTTTGTGCTGCGCTGAGGATCCTGGTGCACAAACCGCTTGTTGAAAAGCCTTCTAAATGCTCAGACTAATGATGAATATAATAGAGACTAAGATTTGTAGTATTTGTTCTATGGTTGTATTGTTTGTATTTTATTCGTAAAGTTCAAATGAATTGATTATGATTTGTTGTAAAACAAGGCATCTTAAATCTTGTGTAAGAGTTAAAAGCTTGAAAACTATTCAAAATAAAGAAAAAATAGTCCAATGAGGCATTTCCACTTTTGTTACGAATGCTAGGTACTAAGTCTAAACTAAAGTAAAAGCTTACTTGAAAAAGAGACATTGTCTTTCTTCCCTTCCCATTGCTATCCTTCCCTATCAAAAAAATCTTCAGAGCTTCACTTGTTAGTAACAATTGATATGTATTGAAACCATATCTTTCTCTGAAGAATCCTCGCAAGGCCCGTGTAACTCGAAGATTTATTGTAGTGGAAGGATTGTATATGAACACAGGAGACGTTTGCCCTCTTCCAGAGTTGGTAAGTGGTTTTGGTTTGCCTTTCAAACTCTGCGTATGAAAACATGTGGCTAATGAAATAGTAGTATCATATAGTTAAGCCTTCACAGAAGAGCTCTGCATGCAGTTCTTCTTGGTCTGCATGCAGGTTTATTTGTTCACCTTCTTGCTTTCTCAAATGTTCATGAAATAGCAATCCCAAATCTTAATTGTTTTGAAACTTCTGATCAGGATTAGGATTCTGAAGCTATATGTAATGAGACTTGCAAATGAGTATCTGGTTATGGTCTTAATTTTTAACCTGTAAAATAGACTATTTTCAGCTATGCTCTGATACTAAATCATTAAACAGTTATATCTAAAAAAAATACCAAATTTCAAAGGAACCCTCACACAGCTGTCATGAACAGTGACTCCAAGGAAAACAGTTGCTATTCAGCATAAATTGGCTTTTTGTACAGGCTATAATCAAGTAGGTAATGGAAGAAATGCTGTGAAAATGCATTGTCTTGAAAGTACTTGATAGCCTATTTTAAAAAAAAACCAAACTTTTTTGTAGATTTAGTCTTACATGGTGGAAGGATTTTGAAGGCTTTCAAATGTTTTTAATGACAGAACACAACTCTAGAGCTGACAGTTTTGCAGTGTTCAGGATACTGTACTTGTCTGTCTTTACCTTATCTCCCCTGCCCATTTGTTACAAAATTCTGATGGGCTTGACTTCTATTTTATGTAATTTGTTCTGTTTTAGATAAAATTGAAGTATAAATACAAAGTTAGAATATTTTTGGAGGAGAGCCTTTCCTTTGGCGTCCTTGGAGAACATGGAAGAGGAATTACTGAACACTTTGGAATAAATGTAAGTGCCTCTTTTGTGAGTTTTGTTGTTAACAAGAGACTTGTACAGAAGCAAATTGCATAAATGCTTTCTTATACCTGTGGCATTAAAATGTTTAATAGTATATGATAGAAATGTAAAGGTACTTTTCTTTGTCAGTCTTAAAGCGTTCAGGTCTTGGCCCTTTTCTTTCATGTGCTTACTTGAAATAATTTTACTTATCTTTAGTGAGGAAGATAACAAAAGAATTTTTACAATACATAATTTTATCCTTTTTTTGGACACTCGGTGAGATGATGATTGCAGTATTTTCCAGCCACGTACACTTAAAACTCTCATGCTTACCCAGAAGTATTTGGGGGTAAGTCAGAAAAATCTTCTCACTGTATAGCCAGCCTACTTTGCTCTATTGCCTTTTACTCCAGTAGGAAAAAATAGGATAAAGCTTGTGACGGTCCTTGCAAAGATACTGTCTTACTACTTTACCAGCAGACTAAGTCAAACTATTTTCCCAAGAGTCTACCTTTTGTGGCGTTTATTCGGCTGAGGAGTACTTCAGAAATCCAGAACTGTAACCTTGTGATTGTTTGCCACCACAGCCACCTGAGCTGGGGAAGGAAGAAGTGCTCTTTAGGTTGCCAGCGTCTTAGTGTGGAGACTCTCTCAGTATGTTCTGACAGTGTCTGAGTTTAGCTTGGAAGTGAAGTAGCAAATTCTGAGAATTCATTCTGTCTTCCCCTATCTCCTATTGTTTTCACTTTGTCTTAATACCAAATATGGAAAAAAGAAAATGAATGTTAAACAGCTTTAGAAAAGGAAACAAATAGTGCTACTGTAATGCTTGCCAAGTACCATCTATTTAATTGGCTTCTATGTTAAATTCATTTACAAACATAATCTTTCAGCTTTGTCTGCTCAGAATGGGAGTTGGTAGCATGTAGTGGTCATCAGTGTGCATTACAGAGGCTGGCAAAAAATATGTTTGTAACTAACAAGTGAAGTAAGACAATGTGTCTCTAAGGTTCAAACTCTGATTTAACTATGCTTATGCTCAGTTTTAATCACATTCTAACTCCTACTGACTGCAGTGGGACTGCTATATTCTTAAAGGACACTGTCACACTGAGTGCTTTGAGCAATTATCACCAGTATCTGTATAATTTGTTTTTTCTGTTTGTGTTCTTCACATTGCAATGTCTGGAAAAGAATGATCCTATGTAAATTATCTACAGACCCAGAAATGTCAATTTCTAAAGTCCTTTTCTATTGCTTAAAATTGTTATTTCAATTGTAGCTTCATTTTAATATGTGATTGTTTGGTGGTTCTTATTAGTATTCATAAATATGAAACAAGATACATCTTTAATAGGTTTATCTTACAAATGTAATCAAAAGCACCTCTTAATAATTTGTTAATTTAACTGGCAGATTGATGATATAGATCTTATTAGTGCAAACATGGAAAATTCACTGGCTTCTATTGGAGGATTTTGCTGTGGCAGATCTTTTATTATTGACCATCAGGTAAGTCAGGTCTCATTTTTATATGGTGTGGCAGGGTTGGTTGCTTAGAAATGAGAGTTAGTTACTAATATCAATTTGCAAAGAGCGTTATGATATAAATTATGATACAACAGTTAATTCCGTACTGAAACCATCTGGTTCTATGAAATATTGTACATGAGTTGGAGACATACTTTTAAATCCTTCCATGAACGCGTAAGTGTGGAGGAGAGATTGTTTAAATGTATGTGAATTAACTTTTAAAACATTATCTGCACCGCTATAAACAAAAATTAAATGTTTTGTTTGCTGAGGCTCTGAATATTATGGAAGATAATCCAGGTACTTAATTCAGGAAAATCTTATTCTTCAGTCTTTCTTCACCCCAAACTAATAACTCATACTTCTCCCTGCTTTGATTGCTCACCCTTTTACTCTTTTAAGTCCTCTCTCTTTTTCAGCTAATTAATTTTACATGCATGATTTCTTCTTCATATAATTTCCCATCCTGCTTTTCTTCTTCAGTGTTTCCTCCCCTTTCCTTCTTCCAACTGAAAATGAGCAAGTTAGTTGAGGCTAGGAAGGACAGAGATGGTTATCAGTAAGCAATTATTATTCTGCTTTATAGACTAGAGATACGCTTCTTCCTTGAAAACAAATTCCTTCAAGACAAGTGGAGGAAGGGAAGGTTAAAGAAAGAAATGGGCATATATTTCCTCGTGACTGAGCAACCCTTTCCTTTCCACTTGTACTACCTATGGGTTTTTTTCTTTTCCAAGTAAGCATCCAGGCAAGAATCTCAGGAATTATCATGGTGCAAACACCTGGAATTTTTGCAGGACCAAGTACAGGACATCTGGATAAAGTTGGCAGGCAGGAGTTTCTGTTCTAGGAATCAGAGAATTGCTGGACAAAATTGGCCAAATCTGTGTGTATTTGTTTTTAACCTTCATTAACATCAGCAGATTGGAGGACATCTGCAGCAAGACGCGGTATTTTAATTTTTCACAAATTAATAAAAACTACTGGGTAGCCCACACCAGCAGTTAAACAAAAGCAAGAAAAATATAAGAGTAAGTTATGGGGCTGCTAGCTGTAGTGGAGGGTCAACCTTTACCAAGGAAAAGAACCAAGGTTTGCAGACCCAGGAGTCAAAGTTTCCTGTTTAAGAATCTGCAGTGTGTTGGTGAAAGGATCAAGGAGCAGAGTCTGCATGCCTATAGATATTTTATAGATATAAATAAGCTGGACCTGCCATTTCAATCACATTACCAAGTGTTTGTGTCATCCTTTCCATATGATCATGAACCAGTGCAGCTGGAGTAATGAGATAAAGAGAAGTAACGCATTTGTCAGATCTTAAAAGCCTGTCATTTGCTGGCAGAAATGGGAGTCAGGAACATTATGAAGAGTAGTGAAGAGACTTAGTACTTCAATAGATATGCATATCATACTTTTCCTTCCAAATGCTTTTTTTGAAATCTTAGACTTAAAGAAATGTAAAGCAGAAACAGGGTATCTAATCCTTTTCCTTTCTCCTCTTTTTAATTTTTTACTTTCTCTCTGTGTGTAGACATTTTTCAGACTCTCCGTGCTAAATGCGAACGAATTCATAAAGCTTTACAAGGGTAAGTATTTTCTTGGGTGGTTTTTTTGGCTATTGTTGATTTGACTATGCCTTTATAATGCCACCTTTAAAGAACACTCCTTGCCCAAATCCATTTCTGGTTTTACAGATGCTTAGACTTGGATATGCATACTAAATTATCTATGTATCAAAGGAAGAAAGTCATACTTTTCCAACTGTCTCTATTACTCTATTAAAAAGAGTCCAGGTTTTTAAAATCGCTTTACGGGTATTGAAATGAGATTGCACCTTAATGCTAGTGGGGATGTTTGCAAACCCTTACACATTTAAGTCTTTAGGAGAGTGTGATAGCTTTCAATGGTATGAAGTGTTGATAAGCATTTTGACAAAAATGTGTAAGTAAAAGCATCTGGGGTTAGCAGATACTTTCTGAGACAATTCAATGCACCTTGCAACCACCTTTAATACAATGTTGTTCTTACATATGAGTCTTGAATGTTAAATACTAATAGCAGTGTTCATTATTGTGGAAGCACATAGAATATAGCTAGAATTTATCTGAAAAATAAGGATTCTGTTTAAAATTTCCTAACACTATCCTGTTTTAAAAGACGGCTATACTGTGTAATTGGTTTTTTTCCTGACAGGTTTTGATACTAAAAAAATACAGAGATTACTGTGACTATTCAATGACTCTTCTATGTACAGAAATATGTTAGCTGGTATTTAACAATTCATTTTCTTCAACAGTTTTCTGTTACATATTACAGAAATTAATAATATTTAATAACATTTAAACACAGTCTATAGTGCATGATTGATTATACTAGCTGATTTTTTGTAGTATTAGTCACTTAGTTATTCGGTGTGAGTTGCTTGTTATTTCAAATAAGCAGCTTCCTGCTTAGCTGATGTTTTATGTTAGAACTTTGCTACATTCGACTTCTTTGAAATAATCCTACCATCAAATAATCCTTGTCTCCTTTGGCTGTATTCTGTTTCAACATGGGTTTAAAATGCATAGGCTTTCCTGTCAAAGATACCCAGATGCTTTTATGCTGGAAATAAAGATTTTAGAGTAACTTGAAAACTGTTAGTGTCTCTTCTTTGCCAGTAATAGAATGTTATGATTGAACTAGAAGGAGAATAATTGTAATATTCTTCTCTAGATGTCATTTTTAGGTGATAATTATAAATATGTTTAAAATAAAGGAAAAAAGTAAGGAAAATTATCAATCTTTTACTTGTTAATATTTACTTCAAAACAGAAGCGCATAAGGCATGACTGGTACTTTTCCATCCTGTGATTGATTCTACTTTTTCACTTAAATTCAGTGATAAGTATGGTCATAAAACAACAAGTAGGCAAAATGCCTCCCTGTCTGTAGTAGGATTTTTGTATTTTTTGGCATATGGAAAACAGTGTGGTAATACAGAGGTCAAAAAAAACTTGAAAGGAAATAGTTCTTCTAGCTCATGATGGGAAAGAACTTGAAAGATTTGACATCACCAGGGAACTGGGCAGCCCAGTTGCAGGAAAACTATCCTAACAATTGCATAAAGCAGTATCAGAGAGAAGATTTGAACTAATATTTGCGGGGTCCAGTGTGAGGTTTTTTTCATTAATAACCACACTAGAAAAAAGTATGGTGGTTCAAAGAGGAGGCAAAGTTTTCAGAAAAAATTTTTTTTAATGCTGTGATGTTAAATGCACTCATTTTCCCTGCCTAACTGTGGCTGCTGCTTGACTCCAGTTCTTTAAAGTGCTCCCACTATGGGAGAATGGAACTAACTGTTTAAAAGAGAGCATAAAATGGGGGTAGAACTGTACACAAAGAAAATGGGAAAGAATACATAACTTTTCTCCTTTCTCATAATAGAACAAATACAGTGAGAGGAACAAATTATAAGTGAAGGTAATCTGTCTTTTAGCCAAGGTGTAACTAACCCATGACATTTAGGACTTGCTATATAATGACCAGCGCATGATTAGCATTCAAAAAAAATGTTGGTCTTTATATGGACTATAGCAGGGGAATAAACGTTAGTGTTGTAAGCTAGAGGAATGACTGGTGTTTATTCCTGTTCTGGGTACAAGCCGAGTGCTGCTTTGTGGAAGAAATGGAAGAATTCTTCAGAATCCTTTATAGAACTATGTTCTTATTGTCTATGACAGTTTATAAAGCATAAGAAAATGCAGTAAGAGATGGGATGATTAACACAACTTTCTTAACAATCTTACGTAAAGTAGATTTCTATCTTGTATTTAAAAATATCTAGTGTGTTAGTAAATGGAAATGAAGAAGCTGTGTTGCAGGGAGACAGGATGGACAGGACAGAATGCTGTGGGTCTTTTTAAAAGTGTGACCATAGTAGGTAGTATCCCTTAAATAGTTCATTACTTATTGCATATCCTACACCTGGCTGAGAATTATCCAGTGAAGCAAGCTTTTACTGGGGGAAAAGCAGATTTATTTTTAAAGATTTTCCCTTCAAGAGAAACCTGACATTTTTTCAAGGAGACCTCATTCTAGTTTTCTGTTAGCAAAACTGATGGAAATGTTTGTGGTGTTCAGGGCAGCCTGGCTACACAGGGTTCCCTGCTGCCAAGAGCCTAGTCCTGCTACTCAGTTCTGCAGCCCAGCCTTGTAGCTGGGGTATGGAGAGCTGTGAAGAGGCTACATCAATACTGGTATGTTAATGTCAGGAAGCATTCCTGGACACTGGATCTCAATTGTTGACTCTGTCAAATTATTGGGAGTGATCTGTGGCATGGGTTTGGCCCAGGCCAAGCAGCACTCTTTGAAAGGACTCCTGGATACAGTTCAAGAATTGGTATGAGCCAGGAACGGTTCCCAGTAAGTCAGTTTGAATGTGGCCACCCTGACATGGAGACTCAGATTTTAGACGTATGGATGTGAGTCATTCCATACCCATTCATCACAGGGCCAGAAAACAGTCCAAGGCATATTTAATTTACTAATATAGAACTAGCCTTAAAGGAGCATTGGAGTCCAGGAGGCTAGTTTTGTTCCTTTGTTTCTTCAAAATCAGATCTTTCAGACTTCTCTTTTTTTGTGTGGAAACTGTACATTTTTGTGTGAAATGAAACTTTCCCAGCATCTCTTAGGAAAGTGAATTCTGATTTCAGGAAAGTTACAGTGTGCATGCATTGGATTCTCAAATACTTGTTGAATCTCAATTTGTCAGAGGCTCAGAAAAACAGTTAATACTATGTTATAGTATTGTAAATATTTATTTATTTTTACATATAATATATTGTTTATACTATAATTATGGTATAAATAATAATATTAAAGTAGTGCCATCGGAAGACCTCATGTTAAACTTCTGGGTTTCTTCAAATAATTGGGTAAGATGAATTATGTAGTTCAGTTTGCTACAGCTGTGACTGACAGAAAAATTAAGTTTGAAACTTGTAAGCAGCCTCAATGAGTAAATGTATAGCAAATACAAAGCATGTTGTTCAGGCAAAGACCCAGTTTGAATGGAAGTGATCCAAAGCTTGCTTCCTACTCATCTTTTCTTATTTACGCTTTGGAGGTGGCCAGTTTATGATTATCTATTTCAAGTAAAGAATTATGTCTATTTTATAACGATAAGCCAATACTGTCTCTAAAAAAAACCTAGTTGTTTTAGGTAGCTTGTCTTAAACTGTTCTCCAGCAAATAGATTTGAATTACTGTGTGTGAAACTTTGCCTGACTTCTCTCATCTCCATTCTTGTAGAACGCTACTTCTTAGAAGTCAGGTCACTCCTAGGGAACAGAACTAAGAACAGATATGTTATGTGGCTATACTGTGTATTGTCTTTCTACCTTGTAGCTGGACATTGGACTGCTTTTCCTTGTCCTTTATATTACCAAATGTTGTATCTCTGATCCCTAGATAATGTGTACAGTAGTGACATAAATGCAATATGCAATATGTGTACTTGTGTATTAAAGACATCACCTGTGTTTGGTTAGTTTGTGAGTGTAGGTGAATGTTTGCAATTTGTGGCTGAAGAAGAGTATCAGCTTGATTTGTCTTTCTGGAATGGACTGTGAATTGAAATTGCATTGTAGAAATAATGCAAGATGCTTTCAATGCTGGAGTATAATTTTATTTTTTCAAGGTTATAATTGATTCAGTGTGTTTGTAGTGCCAGTTTTCCGTTCTGGTGTTTATGGATTTAACATCTCTTCTGCTCTGACTGGGTCTTGAACTTCATAAAAATAGAAGACTTATTTGAAAATGAGGTTGTAAACTTATGATGTGTCTGTGGCAAGCTCATCAAACTCAGGAAGTCAAAATGGTGGCTGGTAGTAGGCATGTGTTTATGGGACCTGTTAATTTCAGAGACCAGAGGTCGGTCTTGGCTATTGGATACAGTTTTTTGGAGGGGAATAACTCAGTCCTGAATATGATTATCTGATGTGTCAGGACAATGGCAACCAAATGTCAATAATTTTTTGACAATCAAGTGTCAATTATTCAATTGAATTGTAGGAACCCAATTAACAACTGTGCCTATGTACAGATGTGGGAGCAATTCTAGTAATACCACTAATTTTAGAGGAGCATCTGACCAAGTGACAGATTATGTTGTAAAGATTTTCTACAGGAAATAATTTAAAACCAGAAGTCTTGCCAAAAAAATAAACCTTGTTTCTTCTTATCACATAAGTGGGTAAAAAGATTTATTATTACTTATTTTCTTTATATAGACTCCAAAGACTTGACTTGACTAGCTGTGTTTTTATCAGTAACATACAGGCCAAACACTTAATATTTCTCCTACGTCTTCATAAGGATCCTTTCAAAATTTCTGAATCATTAATTCTTTTGCAAAAGGTGGAGTCACTATTGTTACGCAAACTTGCTGAAACAACATTTAGTAAAATCCTTAGGGAGGACAGTCACTTGATAAGTTTTGTTATCTTTACCTAATTATTGCAAGCTGAAATGCACATTTTCTGTGCATTAGTATTAGTAAAGTGAAATATCCCTCTTCTCACTTACAAACTAGAAAGGGCTATCTAGCACTTCAATGCATGTGTTCAAGTAGGATGTGCATTAAAGGCTTTTTATTTTTTTTAGGATTTCTGGCTTAAAAGTAGTGGGAGAATCTTTTTCTCCAGCATTGCACCTACAGTTGGAAGAGAGCTGTGGATCTCGAGAAAATGATGTGAAGTTACTCACAAGAGTTGTGGATTATGTAAGTGTTCCCATAACAATTAAATTATATCATTGTCTTTGTGAATAATGAATGAAGTGCATATTGGTAGGGAGGCTGTTGGATAACTTGTTGTAATGTCTTGCAGGAATGCTGCAAGAAACTCAGTTCCTTTGCTGATTATAGGGCTATATTAAAGGCCATCTTCTAACTTTTTTGCTGCAGATGTTTAGGTGTGTAGCACTGGACAAAAATAATATACTAGACCTTTTACTTCAGAAAATAATTATTTCTTGTACTGTACTTCAAAACTCAAGTTAAATTTGTGTATAAAACTGTTGCTTAGAAAACTTTTATAATGTTCAGAAGAATAAAGGCTATCTTTCTATCAGAGTTCTGTTTGTGTATTTTAACTATGTAAAGTCTAGCTTTCTGTAATTTTGCTTGTTTGAGTCCATGAACTTGCTTTTCTCTGTGAAGAATCTCATGTTTTATATGTAGTATTTTTTCCATCTTCCATACACATTGGTTCTCTTTCTCTCACATGAAGGAATGAGGATTGATGAGGAAGTTCTATATTTCAGGTTGTAGATGGGCAAGACTACACAACAAAAAGAAACTGAAGTTTATTTCTGTGTAAATATGCTTAAATATGATTTAATAGCCTACTTAATACAGCATTTTTGTCTGTTTACTTAGAGATGAAAGCTAAAGAAACTACACTGTAATCTGTTTTATGATGTATTAAAATTAGAGATGATTTTGCACAACCTTCAAAACTTCCATTTGGGAAGGAACTTACAATTACCCTGACACCAGATTCATAAAAGTTACCTATATGTGTTTAGCTATATGTCTTTGGTGATCAAAATGATATGCCATCAGAAGTTCCCAGATTGACGACTGCTGTATTTTCTTTATTTGTAGTGCATGAACAGTGGTATTGCATTAACTCAGGCCTGCTATCTGGAGAAAGAAGAAAAAAGTCTTCCTCCACCCAGGTAAGTAGGAAGTTCATTATTTCATTTTATTGGACATGAGACTCTATCTCTTTTCATTCAATGATGGGGCTTTGTTCAGTAGACGGTCCTGTAAAAATGGTAAAGGCTCCATTTTGAGGTATATTTCCAGTGACTGTTACGAGGTGGTAATATCCTGAACTAACTCTATCAAAACTACCTGAATGTGAGTGATCAGCATGTTGCCTGTTGCTGGGCAAATTTCTGTAGAGCTGAACATCTGCAGGTAAAAAAGATAACAATAAAATTTCCAGAGGGGTGGGGTGGGGTGGGTGGGAGGACTCTGACCATTTACATTTAGTTATAGTCTTGTTTCTGGTTGAATTTGAATTCAAAATAATTTCCCCAGAGATAGTGATCTTAACCTATTAAAATTAGTACAAGAAAGGTCTAAAGCTGAAGGCAAGGAGTAAAGTTTACTGTGTATGTTCTGGTTTTCTTTTTCTAGTATTCGAGTAGTGATAACAGTGGAACAAACAGAACAAGAACTGGACAAAGCTGCATCACTTCTTAAGGAAGCTGCACAGTCTGTATTGAATTAGGCTGCTGGTTTGGATTCCTTTTGCCCCAAATTATCAGGATAAATGTTTTACTTTACTGTATAGTGACTTCACATAAGATATTAAAGTTCTTCCACTGATAGCATTAAAACCTGACTAACAAGATTGTTCCAGAATGGTACAAATACAATGAGGGGAAGAATGCTTAATTTTTGAGCTGGTGAATGACACGGTGTACTTGCAATTCAAACTCTACCATTTACTAGCATTCCTTAAAGTGGGATATCACTGTTGCACACAGAACTCTTTCATAAGTTGCCTCTTAAAAAGTTTTAAATTTGTTTCTTCAAACCCTTAAACATTTTAAAAAAATGTATATGAACATTCAGTTTTCCCCCAAAACATCTAAAATATATAGTTTTCTCTGCATATTCTCAGAATGCAGGAAATTCAAAAAAATTTCAAAGAACTATTCCACACACACCCCACGCCCCCCAATGAAGATAGGCTGTTCCTAATACTGCCAAAAGGGAGAAAATAACTCCCTTAAGAGATAGTTTTGTGCTGTATTACTTCATTTGTTATTGAATTATAGGAGGAATTTCAATTCTTTTTGGTTTATATCTATCTCTAACCATTTTTGGAAGCCAGTTTTTAAGAGTGCCTGGCCAGAGAATTCCATTATCTAAATGGTAAATTCATATTAAATACTACTTGCTTCCTGCATTTCATATGTAATCATATGCACGTTTGAGATGGGTGAGGTTTTTCATATTATTAACTTTAAAACATCTGAACTGGAGCCTCTAAATTGTGAAACTGGTGTAATTCCATTATAGTATGTTCATTCAGGCGGGCTTTGCACACCAGTCTTGAAGACGAGGCATAAGCAACATGAAGAATGAACCAAGGTTTTGAAACAGCAACTAATTACTAGCTTAGTCAAACTACTTCGAAGCACTAAAATGGTGTTTTGTCTCTAAACAGCTATACCTGAGAGGGGAAGACTGACAGGTAGTAAGAGTTTAGATAGTACAAATACAACTGAAATACAAGTCAGTATGTTCACATAAAACCCCCATGCAATTGGATAGTAGTATTTCGAAGTTATGCTGTCAGGATTTTCAATAAGCACAGATGGACATTGCACAGATGGATATATTACACCAATCAGAGGAAAGTGGTAAGGAAGGATGGCAGTAAGCTGTACCTTTTTGTAAAATAAAAGCTATAGCCATGTATTTCAGGATTTTACTTTAAGAATGCCTGTTTAAAAATTTTGTATTCTGCTTGATCTGTATTCTGGGTTATTTTGTACTTATGTGCCTTTTTGGTTGCTGCTACAAGAACCACGGGACTATTTTTGAGAAACATCATTGTTTAAATAAAAAATTAAACGTTTGATTCAGACTTTTTACTTACCATATAACCAGATTTTGTTGCATGGTCAACCATATTCTGGTGAATATTCTGCATCAGATGAGCATATAGTCTATGTTGACTCCTGCAATTCAAAGTGACTGCCTCTGCGCTGGTTTTCAAAACTTCTCACCTGCATACACTCAGATAAACCAGCTGAAGTTGTGTTAGAGCACTTCTGTGATTGTTGCTTCAGTATTTGAAATAGTCGAATCATTATCTGCGCAGTGTAGAGAAACCTTCATCCCAATGTGGAAGAGTATTCTCATTTCACTGGTATTTACATTTTTCTCTATTAACTGTGAGTAAAAAGCCTGTGAGAAGCCAACAATTAAAAGAGCAAAAATGTGGGGAAGGAAGCTGATTCCCATTTTACAGATTGGAACTCAAGTGCAGAACAATTAACCTTCTCAAGACCCTCAGGGATTGCAAGAAATGGAAATTAAAACTTATCACTATACCTTGAGCTTGGCAACCATTTTTGGTTTGATAATTGAAACCTGAATATTCAAGTAAACTCAAGCCTTTGATGTATAAGCTGGGAAGAAGTGAGGTACTTGGATTCCAATGCAACATAAATGGTTTTGGAGTTCAAGGTAAACCTGTGAAGGTAAGCAAATCACCAATTAGTGTTAAAATACTAGGTTGCAGAATCTATATTCACTTCTCACATTTTGTTTTAGGTTGTCTGCAAATGGGAATTTTTTTGTTACGCTTTGAAAACTAGCAACAGTCTATAAATACATGGATTTGTTTTGTTGGTTTTGGTTTTGTTTTTTGCTTTAAAATGATAACACCTAAATTGGCAGGAAGCAGAGTCAAATTTCTGGCAATTTCAAAGCTGCAACTAAGTGATTCTGATGAAACAAAATTTCAAGTACGTTGCTAAGAAATACCATCATATGATTCATTTGGGAAACACATACCCAGAATTAAAACATTGGTAAAACTGCCTTTGTCTATTTTTATTGTTTACAAGTGTATAGAAAAGAAGCATTTAGGTCACCCTAAAGTGAACACCTTATGGTTGATAGCAGTTGCAGTACTGTTATAATGTGTGTTTTACTGGCAGGTTATATTCATGGCCTCATGGTCAGAAATTAAGATGCTTATGACATGTAGTTGGTGGAGAGAGATATCCCTGGTTAGTGTAAGCATGTCTGGCCCTCTTCATTTTGGCTTTTTTTGATAAATGTCTCTGACACGGCAAGCAGATAAAGGAAAGGATCGTTCTGGGGAAGAAAGTTGGTTGGGGTTAGGGAGAGAGCAGGTGATTCCGGTTAAACTTTTGACATTAAAAAATCAGAAGCCTGTTAATGTGCTTAAGTTCTCAGTGCTCTAGGCTGATAAATGTACGAACAAGCCTATTTTAGTTGCTTTGTGGTTATGTTCGGGTGAAGGGTGATTTTTTTATATATTTCTTCAGATGTGGGA